GAAATATTATTTTTGGTGTATATATTTGTTAATTTGGTTGGGGTGAATCTCCTCATCAATAATTATTGTTTAAAACTTTTTTTTGTTAATTATCGATACAACCAACAAAAAGATTTCATTATCATTTAATTATTTCTTGATAATAACCTTTTTATAATCGACACAACTAACAAAAAAATTCCACACTCTTACGATGACAAAATTAATAAAAGGTTTCACCTTCAATACGATCATGACCTATTACAAAGATTCAAATACTATATATAAGTTCATACATTTGTTTCAGAGCAACATGAATTTAAAATGTTTTAGAGGAACTTGAGTTTATCATTAGGCTTGCATTATTCTCGGTTCATTTGTCCCCACCGTATTTCCCTGAAAGACAATGAAAGCAAAGAGGTTCAAGGCAAAAGCTTGAAAAACATATAAATTTAAAGATCTTTCAAGATTCGTCCCTAGCCTGATACTGCCAAGAAGCCAAATCTACTCAAGATTCTGACCAAATGCCTTATCTTTCAAGGTCCATCGAGGTAAATTGGGTTTGTCCTTCAATACCTGCAGAACTAAAACATCAATGCCTCCCAATAACAAATCTGTGGAATTTAGATGTCCAATATATATGAAGAAACAAAATCATTACCTTTACGGATGAAATGAAAGTCATCGAATTATGAATTGATTCTCGGTAGGAGCAATTGTTGATCACCATATAAGTAAATCGAAATAGAAAAAGGCCACATATTTTCCACCTCCGGATTCTGCAATTTCTTATTTCTTAAAATCTAATAATCTACAAGGCAATGTTCTAAGTTCTCACAAATACAATAGTCTCCCATTAACCAATTCAAATTCTCTGCTTATCTTCTTCACCTGTTGAACAAAGACAAAAAAAAAACCAACAAATCCCAGTTAGGAAGATGAAGTTGTGTTAAGAGAGGAATTGGTTTATCAAAACTTAGATGCATTGCCCACAAGATCACTTTTAAGCATGATTGATTGGTCATCTAAATTGTGCGTTCCTTTATGAAGATAAGAATTTTAAATCAGAATCAGAAATACGAGTTGTATTTGCAGAGTTTTGTAATAAAGATCTAAAAGGGTAATACTGAGAGTTTTTACCTGGTCCTCGATGATATATGTGCTCTAGGCTATGACAGCTTCAATGGAACCGTCTGGTTTTGGTCGGAAGTAACCAGTATCTGCTCTTTTGATTCCGATTTCCATGTCTTCAGAATATAACAAGCAAAGTAAATTTAGCTTTCGAATTCGATTCAATAAGTATCCTATTTTAGAAGATCAAATCCACGAAACGAAGGAGCGAGATCTGACTGTTTACCTTGCCGGAATGTGAGAAACAGAGCTCTTCGCGGTAGAGGAAGGAAGGTATGGTCGGATATTCACCTTCGCTTTGTCCTCTCCAAGTCCTTAAGAGAGAAGAAAACTTAGAATCTGATTTTTTAACTTGGTCTTTGTCTTCTCCCATGGATTTAAAATTGGTCGAAGACGAAGTCATGGCTACGGGTTCTGAGATCGGCGTTCGTAAAATGCTAGCGATTTCATTCTTCTTTGAGAGGTAAGATCTAAATCGAGAGTGATAGGTAAAGAGAAAATGGGATTTTTGGTTTTCTTCAAATAACCTTTATTATCAAAGCAAAAAAATTATTTGGTCCAATTTCCAAGCTTAATTTTTACTTGGGCGGGTACTAAAAATTTTTATTCCCGCTAAATCCTATGGTAGCGTA